GATTCCCAAATACCATAAATTTAGTTTTATCCAAATTCAAAGATAGTATATTACTATCACACCATTTCTTTATCTTCACAAGTTCCTGTGAAACCCGTCCAGAGAGTTGCTGTAGGTTATCATCAGATGCCCATATGGTAGTGTCATCAGCAAACAAAACCACTTTGACAATATCAGAAACCTTACATATATCGTTAATGTGTAATATAAATAATTTAGGTCCCAAAACAGAACCCTGAGGCACTCCACATACAATATCCATTTCAAGAACACAAAGAATTGGACTCCAGCTCAATGGCCCCACAATGTGCACAACATATAAACTAAATAAATACACACTATGTGCAGTGCATTACAGTGTCTAACCTTCATAAAACATACTCAGGTTAATGCTATGAAGCTCCATTATGTGGTTCACACATGAACACAGAGATCACTCATTATTATAACGTTTATTAGTTATAGACAGACCCAGTATTATTAGCCATGTACCAGCATCGATAAACAACAGTGATCATGTCGTGCTCACAATGTAAAAGAACAGTGTAGTCAACCTTAAAGACCCGGTTCGATGCTCACTTGTCACCAAAGCTAAGTAAAGGAACAGGTCTGTAATTTGTATCTGCCACAACGCACAAACCATCATTCCCAATGTTACGCCCAGTAGCCGTGGACGCGCCCATTTACACAGTGGGCGCAGCAAACAGCTCCAGCTGCATTTGGAGCTCGGCCCCTCACGCACAGCAGACAGTTTCATCATGGAGACGAAAGGAGAGCTTGTCGTTGTCAAACGGTGAGAATGAGCTTTTTAAACACTTGTTGTGTGAGTTTTTAAACCTACTAGTCTTTTACCTTGTGGCTCGTTTTGTGTTTGCTGCAACTTTCCGAGGTTTTAATCAACATACGGTGGAAAACAGCGGCGGTGTCCAAAGTGTCCGGTGCTGCTCGTTTGGCACAGTTTAGTTGAAAAACGTGGTTAAATGTTATTTTACGTGCAACATTCGAGGCGTTTTCTCTTGGTGTGTGGGCTCTTTTCAACACGCTGACGTGGATCTTGTGCCTCTTGAGGCTGTAAACAGTTATTTTTACCCCGACGAGCTGCCCCCACGTTTCAGCTGTGTGCTCCTGTGCCCCCGGGTTGTTTTCATGGCTGGCCCCGAGTCCACAGCCTTTGTTCCTGCCACAGACTGCTGGTGCTGCTGGGGGGGCTTCTGGTTATATGTATTTCACGTCATTTGAGTAAAGATGAAGCCTGATGCAGTAGAAAAACGCGCTCGCTGTGCTCATCGTGCACTGTGCACGACTGGGCCTGAAAGTAACGTGAGAACATCGAGTTCCTCTTCGCTTCCTGAGGCCTTACATGAAGTACAAGCAGAAAAACAAGGCAGGAGTCTGTTATTTACGGAGCTCAGTTGATACAGGACAAACACAGCAGCTTCATGGGACACACAACAGTTATTAAACGGGAAAAAGATGCGCACACGTTCGTTAAGAGCTAAGCTCGGCGGTTTGTTGAGAGCAGTCGTACATGTGAGGACCTGGGGGCTCCTGTACTGGGTGGATGGGAAGGGTCTGCCAAACAGGCCGGACCGGAATGGTTTACAGCTTTACAGACTGATAAGAGGGCCTTCAGGCCAGTTGGACAAGCCACAGGTAGGCATGGCGGTGAGGCCGGAAGTGGCCGGATCTGCCTTCTCTTTGTCAAGTTAAAAGCCTGACAGCGGCTCTGGATCAGATGCTGTTGGTTAATTTAGCAGGGAGACACGTCACAAGGCCACTGCTGTGATCATGGTGCCATTCTGGAAGAGCATGGCTGCTTTTCCCCCATGCTGGGCATGAAGGAGGCATCTTGTTTGTAGGATGGCATGAAACAGTTTTAGTATGAGAAGTTGAAACTTGACTCAGGACCTAAAATGTTCATGTTTGTTTGGCTTTGTCTCCTGTTGTCCTGACTCCAGGTGAATTCAGCAGGCTCCGTCCATGTGATGCACAACCGTTGTTTGGTTTCACAGGTGGAGCATGGTGGCCAGTTTGGTGAACCTGCCTTGATACAAAATACAGCCCGACCCAAGATGAAGCCCAGAAAACCTGCTGCTTGTTTCTGGCTCACGTTTGAGCATTAACAGGGAAAGCAAGAGAGAATTGACAGTATTTGTATTTATTTTGAAAGATATTAACACTGCCAGTGTCTTTGTGGTCCTAAGGCTCAGCATGACGACAGATGGCTTTCTCTTAGGCCTGAGATGATTAGTCGAGTGAAAGCTGTTCAGGGAACAGTCCAAGTCCTGCTTCCATCTTCTCAGACCCGGTTTCAGCTTTTCTTTGACACACGTATCAGCAAACAGGATATTGTTTGGTTTGGACTTTGAGGACGTCACCCTGGGGAGACCGTGATGGACACAGTTTACACAGTTTTACAGACTAAGTGATTAATAATATAACATGAAAATGTAATAATATGATATAGAAATAACAAAGTAGAGTTCTTCTGTCTGAATAAAGTTGAAATCTTCAGGTAAAAGCTCCATCCTTCTGCAGCCTACTTCTGGTCATCATGAAGGTTTTGCTTCTTGATTCATAGTTTGACACAAGGTTTAAATAAATCCAGTGTGATACAGAGGAAACTGTTTTAAACCCACACCTGCCTGATGAGAGACTGGAGACGAGTCACACATTCAGAGGTTTCAGAGCGTCACCACCGAGTGTCTCGCTGGTCGTTGAATTTGTCAGACGACTTCAGCGTCTGCTAAAAGTTCCCAAATCTTGTGTCCAGTTTTTCATTTTCTTTGGCGTTTAAGTGACCCTTGTTCTTCACCATCAGATATTCTTCCAGTTTCACGTAAGTCATGTGATGGAAACGTCACCAAGGCGCCCACTAGCTCGGTGCGAATACTCTGGATGACAACCTGCTCTATTCACACACAGGTTCAGGTGGTTCCATAGACTTTGGCAGGGTAAAGTCTGGGCAATGTGCAGCCCAGCTGGTTCGGACCTTTGCTTTTACACCTACGGCTCCTCTGGGTAATGTCTGCATGAGTTCAGGGCGGCACTGCACATCTGGGCGTGCTGTTCATCTGAACAGTGAATGACTGCGGACTCAGCTCTGGGCCGCAGTGAAAACGTTTCTGTCCCTGATACCGTCAGTACCGTCAGATGGTCTGCTTGTGTAAAATATATCGTGAAGATGGAGAAAACCGAGTGCTGTTTGTAGTTTTGGTGTTTGTCAGCCAGTGTCACAGGGCAGAGTGGGAGTCAGGCCCAGTCTGTGTGTGTGTGTGCCTTTGTATTACTAACATCATGAGGACCGAAGCCTGTTAACATACTCACACTGTGGGGACTCGGCCATCGTTGTGGGGACCAGAAGCTAGTCCCCACAAGAAAATCACTGAATTTTAGGGTGGCAACATGGTTTAGGGTTAGGATGAGGGTGAGGTTAAGAGTTGGGGTCACGATTAGGTGTTAGGTAAGTAGTGGTTAAGGTTAAGGTTAGGATAAGTCTACAGGAAATGGATGTAAGTCAATGTAAAGTCCCCACAAGGAATGAAAACGTGTGGCTGAGAGCAACAGCGTGTGCTCAGCACTGACAGAAAAAAAACCTCTTCCTTGTTTTGTTGAACATTATGTTCCAGAGGTTTGTGAGAAGTCTCCGTGGGGGTGGGGGGGTTCCTCTTACTTCTTCACTCTCTCATTCTTATCTATACGTTTACTGTTTTGTGGTCCCGCTCCAGAAGCTTTAAAGCCTTGGTACAAACTGAACATACACCCCCCTCACGTGCGCCGGTTGTTGTCAGCTGATGACATTGTGTTCCCTGCAGTACGCAGCAGTTTACACCCGTCTACAGATTACAGAGTGTGTGTTGGCAGACGCTGGAGGTGTGTCTGTGCCAGGGTGTAGCTGTTTGGGCTGTGCAGGCTGTCTGCCCTCTGACCCGCTTCTCTGGGACAGTTCCACCCATAAACAGTTGTTCAGTAAACCATGCGCACGCACACAGTGGTTTTGGTGCCTCGCGCACACGTTGAGCAATGAGACATGCAGCTCTGCTCTCTGGCCGAGCACACTGTGTTCCCTGACAGGCTGTGTTCCCACACAACACACCGTGTACGGGGGGAATGTTGTGGCTAAATGATTTACAAATGTGTGTGTGTGGAGGGTTATGAACCTAAAGCTCAGTCTGTGTGTGTGTGTGTGTGAATGTGTAAAGGAATCTGTGAATGTGTACTGAGACTTGAATTTATTAAGATGTGTGACCATACTGTATATGTAAAGACCAATAAGACTTGTGCATGTGTAAAAGAATCGACATGCACACTTCCATGAAGAACATCGGCCTTTTACACCTCAGATGAGCCTCTCAGTCTTTTTACACATCACTTTTGCTCCACTCCTGCGACTATGTGCCAGTGGTTTGTCTGCTTTTCAGGGTTTTATTTGGGCTTCAAAAATCCTAAAAGTGACGTTCGCTTGTGAAGATGATCCTGC